CTTTCTCTGCTCCCCTTTTTACATACCCTCGTTCCAGCTCACAAATGGGCCAGGAATCATAGTAATGGAGAGCGGAATTTACCTTTAATCTCACTGCCTGTTTGTAGGTTGCTCTCTTGTTTCATTGTTGATAGCTCCGTAAGCGTTTGGAGTCTTTGGACCTCACTCTGCCACTCTCAATTCTGCTTTCCTCGAGAGTGGTGCTCCATTCCACTACGCTAGATTCAACAGTCCTGAAAATGGATAGAGGTATCAGAAAGACTTGTTTGAGAACTCTCAAATTTTTGTAGAGCCAGCTTCACATTGGGACACAGCTGTCAATTTGTATCTTGTTGCTATGTGATGAGAAGGGGAGCGAAAAAAGGAATGCAGGGTCAGTCAACAGCGCAGAATCTTGAGTAGGTGAACTGAGGTAGGGAAAATTCAGTTTTAGGAGTGTCTAACAACTCTCCACCGAGTCTCCTTTAAGGGTGAATCGACTTATTACAATAATCTGTAAACGGACGCTGGACCCGGTTTCCAGGAGCGGGAGCTCCCCACCAATGAAACAGAGCCATCCAACAAAGGGGCGGTAGAGGGGGTGTCTGCTCGTATCAGGCCCCCCCCCCCCCCCCCCCCCCCCCCCCCCCCCCCCCCACCCCCCCCCAAACCCCCCCCCCCCCCCCCCCCCCCCCCCCCCCCCCCCCCCCCCCCCCCCCCCCCCCCCCCCCCCCCCCCCCCCCCCCCGGTCCCCATCACTGGTGTAAACCAAAACCAAAAAAAAAAGGTTGAATCGAGGGTAGTGGATCGGAGCCCTATCTCATGCTTGCCCTGCTTCCACACCCTAGGGATGAGCACAGTTTTGACTGAGAGCCGTGAACTGGTGAACTGAAAGAAAAGTGCCTCCGTGAGTCGCGGCGATCAAAATGCGAGAAGCCTACCTTACTGGATACAGCTGATTAGGTGGAGGGGAAAGAAAAAGTGATGTGGAATCTGGCCTTCCATACGCAAACGCGTTTACAAAGAAGCCAGGAATCATATCAATCAACGGAGCCTATCCTGTGGGTGCTCTCACTCAATAGTATTATGTGAACATGCTTTTTCGCTTATACCCCTAAGTTCGTTCACCGTCTTTTTTCTACGGGATTCCTATTCCTCACCCTCTTCCAATCCCCTAGAATGCACAGCTAGCTAACGGAGAGCCAGACCTGATGCACGTAATTCTTTTCAATCAGCCTTGTGGACATTGTAAATTCAATTCTTCCTCTCTGTTATATGCTGGGTAACCAGACCGAAATGGCTGTGGCCACCAGCCAAAAAAGAAAGAAAAACATGGTGCCAGCACTTCGGCAAATTTTGGCGTGCAAATTTTGGCGTGCAAATTTTGGCGTGCAAATTTTGGCGTGCAGGGCCTGTCGGTTCGGTGAAACAGCCCCGGGTGTACTGGTGGTTCAAGGAAGTTGTTTGTACCTTCTCCTACTGAGGTGAGACTAGACGGTAGTCTTTTCTGGTCTAGGGACGATCTGCCATTTAATATGATCCTAGGTTTGTAACTTTGTAACTTTGTACCAACCAGAATTCCTGTTGGGCCCAAAAGTGGGTCAAAAAAAAAAGCAAGTTTTTTTTTTGGAAATATGGCTGGACTGGGCTCACCAAGATCTCTCCGAATCTGCAAAGAAAA